AGGTGAACAACTTGTGTTTCGCGCGCTCATATGACCTTAGCAGTTGCGAGCGCCGTAAAACCTTATACTACTACTACTACTACCGTGGTGTGTGGTCTATCATCTTTGTGGGTGGTTGGAGGGCCCCTCTGGCATGTCCCACTTCTTTACTTTCTTTTGTTTCTGTCTTACAGATTCCCAACAATACATAACCATGATTGTGTCGATGTGGTTCTCTTTACTCATACAAACAAGGGATCTCGTGGCCTTTAAGGTGTTCACCTCCCATTCAAAGGTCCCGGTTAAAAGAAACTGAAAAAGGGGCAAAAACTTTACCTTCGATTTTCTCAAAACAGCATTTTTCGGGATAGCCCCCTTGTCCTTAAGAGTGACCAAATGACCATTAGTGTGTCGATGTGCTTCTCTTTCCAAAAACAAAACAAAACAAACAAGGAAACTTATGTATAAGACGCCTACAACAATAAAGTCGATAGTGCTGTAAAACCATACACTTAACTCTAACCAACCGATCAAACATTCTGAGAAACGACTTATTTGCTTCGTGCACGCAGTAAAATACATACACAACGAACAAGGCAGATCATTTCAGGTATACCAGGTCCTGTAATGTCAAATCTGAGTCGATAGTGCCGTAAAACACCTACTTAAACTAAAATCGGGGGTTCGAGCCTCAGCTCACTCCGACGTTGTGTCCTTGGGAAAGGCACTTTACATGAACTTCCCATTTAGCTAGGTCCTTTCTGAGATGGACGTTAAATTCGGAGGTCCGTCTCTTAAATAACCTATCAGTATTGATTGGGGCGATAAACCTGTACCATTTCATCATACCCTTTTCAAACTGTAATGTCTTCCCCTATTGCAGGCACGGGTGGTTGGCGGGTGCTCTGGGGTGGTATGCTCCTTCTTTCTTGCCAAACATCTATCGTCCACTTCTCTCCTTTTTTGTGTTTGCTACTCTCTTCTAACGCCAGTAATCTTGGCTCTTATATGACCTTATTGTGTTGCAAGTGCCGTGAATTTCAAATTAAAACTAAAAACTGTTTCAGGCCTGTGTCATGGCGTTCTGGGCGTGTGTCCTGTCACCCTCCTAGGGTTCTACTTCAAGCGGCGCCGCAGTCTGGCCCAGGCCTTGGCCAACGTGGGTCTGTGTGTGGGCTCCATGGCTTTTCCCTCCGTCGTACAGGCTCTACGGTAAGGAAGGGCGCAAGGGTGGTTGGAGGGTGCTCTGGTGTGGTTTGCTCCTTCTTTACTATTAAAGTTCTATATGGGTGGTTGGAGGGATCTCTGATGTGAGTTGATCCTTCTTTCCTACATGGGTGGTGGGCGGGTGCTCTGGAGTTGTTTGCATCTTCTTTACCATCAAACATCTGTCGTTGTCTTCCGTTCTTTTCCTCATATGTTGCTATCAAGTAGCATCTCTAATTTGGGCACTTATGTGACCCATTTGTGCTGCAAGTGCCATAAAACTTATTTAAACTAAAATTAAAAAGGGAGGACGCATGGTGAGCTTATTTGTATCATGCTGGACTACAGAGTGGATGGCCCTGGTACAAATCTCCAACGAGGCGGCGTTCTGAACTTCGGTTATTCTCAGGTTTTTAAGACTCTTCACCGGGGGTCAAGGGCTAGTGATGGGTCTCATTGAAATATTGGGAAATGCCTAAGCGTCTCAAACAGCTTCTCCCAATCCATCCAACCGTACCTACCCGTGGTGGTCCCTGTTTCCACTGACACGGCTCTGGCGAGTGGTGAGTTGTTGGCGCCAACAAACCACCCCCCCCCCCCGTTTCCTAGAGGGGTTAAAACAACAGAATGGGAGCAGGTGTGGCCCCAGAAGGTGGAGGAGGCAGAATCCACCGATGCGTGGTAGACGCTATGCTCCTCACTAACACACCCCTACTCTCCCTTGAGTGGGTGTCTAATCTGCCTAACACCCCTACTGCTCTTTATCAACACACCCTCTGTGTCTTAGAAGGAACCAGCCAGTCTGGGGAGGTCTGGATGCAAGGACGGATCGAGCGGAGTGCCTGACTTGCCTTCTGACCGTGGACCTCTTAGTAAAGGCACAACGACCCAGGACGTGACGATCCAATGGCTTTCTCACTTGGCCGAAACCTCATGCAAGAGTAGACAACTATAGCCAGTAGCCATTGGTGGCGGGGTATGGGCAACGTGAACCCTACCGGAATTACACGGTCACACGGCAGTTAGGTCTTTCCAGCTTCATGAAAACCCTTGTATCACGTATCCTCAACGTGCATGGCCCCTTCTTAGGGTGGGCAGGCAGTCCACAGACACCTCAGTCCTCAATGCCATGACACAAAGAAAAGAATTACATGCGAGCTCGGACGTCGCCTCGTTAAACAAGGTCCGCGCCAGGCAGCGCAATCACCAGGCTGCTCTGAGCGACAAGTCAGCTACTGGTGATACACACAGAAACAGTGTTAAACCAGCACGGAAAAGCTCTCGGCGGGAGAAGAGAGCCAATTTCATCCCCAACCAGAAGAAGAGTTCCCTCAACCTCTTGCAACTCAACATCTATGGTTTGAGGAACAAGAACTGGATCGATAACAACAAGACTCTTCACCATTAAATTTTGTTTCGGCCCTATCGGAGATGGGTGAAACATTTGGAGGTCGTGCCTCTTAACCTTATACTTTTGAAAGGGGTTTAATGCCTGTTTACTGGCAATGGCAGTTATGGTAAGGGGGGTTCTTGGACGCTGGCCTGGAGACAATTGGAATGATGGATTATGCTGCAAGACTTTCATGGTTATGTCAGTGTGAGGGGTGAGGGGGGGGGGGTGCTGACATTCCTTAACTGCTTTATGCTGTCAGAAAGGAGGAAAGACTTTTGACTCTCAAAATATTGTGCTCCAATAGGACTTTGCCAACGAATTGTTTGCATAAAAAGTGGACATGCCAAAAAAGCTAGATACTCACCACCGTTTTTAATTAAATACTTGTGGAAGATAAGAGTTAAAAAGTTTGTTTCTAACTACCTCTTAAAAGATTTTCACCGACAAAAAAGAGTAAACAATTAAATACATAAGTACATAAAGAAAGAAAGAAAGAAAGAAAGAAAAAAAAATTTATTCTGTAGTAACACAGCAAGCAACAATTGCCAACAATACTGTCTGTAGGTGTTCATGGTGCCACAGCTGGATCAGGATCGTTACTTGTTGATGAAATCGATGCGGGACTGGAAGACATTGCCGAACAAGTGCTCCGCCTTTAGCAAAATATTGTAACATTTGTACGTTGAATTGAACGAATTAAAAAAGACCCAACGTATTTTACTGTAAAGTGTGCAAAGACAAACTCGTGATACTGTGTCAGTAGTGCCGTAAAACACCTACTCCATCAATCAATAACACCCCCCC